GAGCAATACCGATCGGGAACAACACTGGACCCGACAAAACGGAACATTCTATTACGACGGCAAGATCTTTGTCCCCGCAGGACAACCCAGACTTCAAGTACTGCAACTTTGTCATGATAATAAATTAGCAGGTCATCCTGGACGCAGGAAGACTTTGGATTTGGTCCAACGACACTTTTGGTGGCCAACCATCCGCTCGTTTGTCAATCACTTTGTGGCATCATGCGAATCATGCCAACGTAATAAAATCCGTCGACACAAACCTTATGGCCTACTACGACCACTACCCATACCAGAATTGCCATGGCATTCAGTTACCATGGACTTTATCGAAACGTTGCCAGACTCGGACGGCTACAATTCAATCATTGTTTTCGTAGACAAATTTACGAAGATGGCGATATTCGAACCATGCCGAAACGATATCACTACCCTGGACTTGGCTTACATCTTCCTTAAGAACATACTCGCCAAACATGGTATTCCGAGCACGATCGTTAGCGACCGTGGAAGCAAGTTTACGTCTGCCTTCTGGCGCGACGTCTGCACAACACTAGGCATTGATCGCCGATTGTCTACAGCCGCTCATCCGCAAACCGATGGTCAAACCGAACGTGTCAATGCACTTCTGGAAGAATACCTGCGTGCATACGTCGACCACTTACAAACCAACTGGGCGGAGTTATTACCCCTGGCAGAGTTCGCTTACAACAACTCCGCGCACTCTTCCTTAGGAGGTAAATCACCATTCTTCGTCAACTTTGGTTTTAATCCACGGTTTTCCTTCGATACCCCCGATTACACCCCTGGTATGGAAGCGAAGTCTTATTTGGACGTCATATTCGAAGCAAGAGAACAGGTCAAACAGTCCTTACAAGAAGCGCAGGAAAATCATCGAAAATACTATGATCGTAAACACGCACCTGGGCCAAGATTCAAGCCGGGAGACCGAGTGGGACTGGACACCCGCAACCTATCAACGCAACGACCAATGAAGAAATTCGATGTACGATATATCGGTCCCATCGAAGTGGAACAAGTACTATCCCCGGTAACATATCGACTCAAGTTACCGAAAGAATTCCGCATACATAACGTCTTCCACGTAAACCGACTGGAACCATGGATCGATAATGACATCGACGATCGTAAACAACCACCGCCTGGACCGATTGAAATCCTTGGAGAGGAAGAATGGGAAGTAGAATCCATCCTTAACTCTAGGATTAGAGGTCGCAAGAATCAACGCGTTGAATACCTCGTACGATGGAAAGGCTATACGGATCCTGGCGACGACACATGGGAACCATACGAGAACCTCAAAGACAATGCCGCCGACGCTTTGGATGAGTACCATCGAGGCTACCCACACCAGCCGCATCAACCGACCCTAAAACAGACGCCTAGAAAACGATAGATACCGATCGGGATTGGACAACCAGACCCCGATATACATCAATCACAAAGTATCTAATCTACACGTCTGAAGAAGAGGAAAACTGAGAACGGTCGACAGCCTTGCCCTTGCCCTTGTCCTTCGCCTTCCGCTCCTCGTACAACTTAACCTGACGGTATAGATCATTGTCAAGGGTACCGCCCTCATCGTCAGACAGGACGATAGTCGTGCGCTCCTTAATCGTCTTGCGACTTGACGGACCGGGGCCAGCGACAGGAGCAGCGGGGGGAGCCGAGGTGATAAATCCAGCGGGCGCGGTGTTCACGGAAGCAGCGGCAGCTTGAGTAAGCGTGTCGAACACGCTGTACTTGGCGACGGTTTTGTGGAAGTTTTTGTCCAAACCCATATCACCATAACCCTCCGCGATGGCGAACGAGTTAAGGTTATTGGCGACATCGCGACGCCAGTGGTCAAGCGTATTGACGATTACTTCGTCACGCTCGCGGCTGTATGGCAAAGTAAACTGCGACTTGAGCTTCTGGTGAAAACTTTCGCTTTGCTGATGAAGGCGGTAAAGCGAGGCCAAGGCCTTGCTCTGTTTCTCATACTTGGCGATCCATTCGTCCAAACGGCGCGAGCAACGGTCGCCCATACCGTGACTGTGACAATAGAGGCAACCGCGGATGCCCTTGCGCGTATCGCCAACGACGGGTTCCGAGAAAACGCACTTCATGCGGGCGTTGGCGCATTTGTCGCAAGGCTCGGCATCCAACTGGATGATCAAGCGGTTCATGCTATTCAAAGTCGCACGGCAACATGAAGTATACTGGCAATCAGTAACGATCGGTAACAACTCACGTTGCGGTTCGCATTCTGACCAGTGGCCCACTCGATAGCGCTCACCGCCACGTCAGCGATCTCGAGAGGCACGTAAAATCGCTCTTCATCGACCTGGGTGCGAAATTGGACGACCAGTTCAACAAGAGGACCAACCGACGGATCAGTCACAACATACGCGTACGGCATGTTGGTGACCGACCCGGTCGACGGGAGCTTCATCGTCTCGAAGACACGCCGCGGGATATCATCTTGTTTGATGACTTCGCGCTCATAATCAGCACGTGCTGGCCTTCTACTCACGTTACGAATGCGCAACGCATCACTGGTTGCGTGCTTCG